CTCATCACACACCTGGCTTGATTATATTGCAACAAACTAACTGTGACAAAGTATTAGAAAAAAAATTAATAGTTTCATCACAGACAGGAAATTCTATTCCGGAAAATATTAATGAATATGTAACGTGTATTCTATTATTATTGTTGTGTATTTTGTCATTCTTTGCCACTGATGTGTTGTTATTGTATGTTAATGACGGGGAGGTAGTGGTGACTTGCAGCTCTGACAGGTAGGTCATGACGCTAGACAGGTTATGACATGCACTGTTGACAGGTCGAGAATGAAGACAGGTAGGTGGTGATGACAGGTAGGTGGTGATGACAGGTAGATGGTGATGAGACAAGTTGTTATAAGTGGTTGAAAGTTAATGAGTTATGACAAACAGGTAGATATGATAGGTGATTAGTCGTAATGGATAGGCAGTTAAGGCTAATAGGTCATTATGACATAAGTCAGGTAGTCAGTTTTGACAATTATGTAATAATGAGAGGCAGCTTGTTATGGCCGGCGCTTATGACAAGGCAGGTAACTATGAAGGGCAATTTATTATGTAGGTAGTTTTGACAGAGGTACTGTACAGTGTATGAGACAGGTAATTACAACAGGTATCTTTGACTGACAGGACGTTATGACAGAGGTAGCTATGATAGACAGGTAGCTATGATTGGTAGGGAGCAGTACTGTAATGAACAATCAGTGCACGAATAGTGAGGATGGGGGGGGGGGGTTAGACTGGGGTTGAGTAGAGGAGAGCCAAGGTTGCAGGTCGGTGGAGCGAACCTTCAAGGATAGGCCAGCATGTTGCACGACACACGTTGTCAACAATGAGCCCCAGCACTTGTGGCCGCTGGCGGGGTTTTCTCATGTGTGACCCAGCGATAGTATCTTGTTTACGTCTCTTGTCTCCGGGCCACTCACAAGGCTACGCCGTGTTTATCTGTGTTTCATTGTTTCTTATCTATACGCCTACAGGAATTTATAGTTAATTATCGTCGTTCATCTCGGGACCTTACATATTTGTTAGTTGTTGTCAGGTGTTGATTCCTGCGTATGTTGTTGGGGTTATGAGCAACTTCACAGGACACTCGCTTGTTACACTGTATTTGGTGTTTCATACCTTGAACATATCTCTCTCTCTCTCTCTCTCTCTCTCTCTCTCTCTCTCTCTCTCTCTCTCTCTCTCTCTCTCTATATATATATATATATATATATATATATATATATATATATATATATATATATATATATATATAACTTTAAAGGTGCAAGTTTGCTATAATTTTTGTTATTTCTCACCAATATTGTTTGTTGTTATGGTGACCCGCAGGATTTTATGGAGTTGTTTTGATGAGGTTACGAGTGTATTGTTTTGTGTTGTGTTATGGTCGCAGGTTTTATACATCGTCGCCGACACGAGTATTATCGTTCAACCCTCACAAATATTTCTCTTTAGTATTCTTCATAATAAGACAAAGGAATTTATTGGACAAATCGTTGATGTTACACAAGGTTAAGTTAGTATACGTGATAAAATCAAGTCTTTTGGAACTGATACGTGGATATATTTTTCCGTGTTTATGTGCCGGCGCCATTGTTGTTGTTGTTGTTCATCGGCTTGAAAGAATTTCCGGACATTCCATGAACCTCACCTTCATCCGTAAGTCATCCGTGTGTGTGTTTGAGTGTGTTATGGCGTGATAGAACATGTTGTGAAGAAGAAACTAGGAAGTGTGTGTGTGTGTGTTGAGTAGCAGTCACACAGCAGGGAAGTGTCGCAAGTGTCAGAAAGTGAGTGTAAAAAGTGTGTTGAGTGTCGAGCGGGGAAGTGAATGTTGGTCGTGTTGTGGAGGAAAGTTAAGCAATGTTTGGTGGTGGTAGTTATTGTGGTAGCGGTAGTAGGAGTGGTGTAGGTGATGGTTGTGGTATTAATAATGGTGTTATGGATGGTAGTCGTGATAGTGTAGGAATGGTAATACAGTAAATAGTGATGGTGGTGGTTATGGTTGTGATGATGATGGTAGTAACTGAGGCCTGGTAGTATTGCTGGTGGTGTTGGTAATAGTGGTGATGGTGGTTGTGAATGTGTTGGTAGTAGTAATGGTAGTTGTTTTAGAAGTGGTGGTAGTAGCAATAGTAGTAATGTTGCGAATGGTGGTAGTGGTAGCAGTAGTTTATGTTAGTGGTGACAATGGTGGTGGTGATAGTAGCTGGTGGAAGAGATTTAGACGGTTGTGGTGGTTGTAAAAATTGTGATTGTACTGTAGGAGATGCAAGGTAATTGTGGTGACGATGGTGTTGTTATGGTAGTAGTTTTGACGTTGTGTAATGGTTGTGGTGTGGTTGGTGGTTATAGTGGTGATGGTAGTAGTAGTAATGTAGGTATCGATGGTGCCAGATGGTGATGGTGTTAGATGGTAATAGTAGTGTAGATTGCAGTGTGCTAGTGATGGTGGTGGTGGTGGTGGTAGATTGTTGTAGTGGTGATAATGTGGGTAGCCTGACACCATCACATTTGTTGGCCATTTACCTCACACGTGTACCTCAGTCACGCGGAAATAAAGTATGAAGCCCCGACACAAGAAGTCAGCCCGAATCATTAGAGATGGCAGGTGAAGCTTGGTATGAGGGAGGGAGGGGAAGTCCCGCCCTCCGTCTCCGGTATTACAGGGTGTCGCATAAGCATGTACTACTTCCTCTAGTCCACAACTGGTTCTCTACAAACATACACACACAGACACGTGGGCGGGGGCTGTAGTGTCCTCATTATCATACTGTAATGCCGTGTACCTTTTATGGAAGAGTGTTTTCCTTAAGAGTCTGTGTGGAGTGAGAGCGGGTGGTGGCGGAGGATGTGAGTGGTGAAGGCGCTCTAGCGGGAACGTGTGAGCCGCGGGAGACAGCGAGGGAGGGTTGAGACCTGCCTCCTGCCTGCCTCACCCGCCAGTTGTGTTGTAGACAGTGTGTGTGACGCATCGCTCCTCTGTACGTCTTGCCGTGTACCCTCCCTCCCTGCCCCCTCACTACACACCCTCATCCCTTCCTCCCTCACTCATTCTCATCCATTCCTCTCTCCCTCACCTCATCTCCTCCCTCACTCATTCTCATCCCTTCCTCCCTTACCTTCAACTCTCCCTCCCTTACCTTCAACTCTTCCTCCCTCACTTCATCTCTCCCTCCCTTACCTTCATCTCTTCCTCCCTCACCTCATCTGTTCCTCCCTCACCTCATCTGTTCCTCCCTCACCTCATCTCTTCCCCCCTCACCTCATCCTCACTCCCTCATCTCTCCCTCCTTCACTTGAATTTACTCCCTCAAACCCAATCCGTACACTCCCATTCCCCCTCACCTGTCTTCATTCCCTCACCTGGCCTCACACCCTCCTCCACCTGGCCTCGCACCCTCCTTCACCTGGCCTCGCACCCTCCTTCACCTCGCCTCACACCCTCCACCTGGCCTCACACCCTCATCTTCACCTGGCCTCACACCCTCCTTCACCTGGCCTCACCCTCCTTCACCTGGCCTCACACCCCTCCTTCACCTGGCCTCACACCCTCTTCTTCACCTGGCCCACCCTCTTCTTCACCTGGCCTCTCTTCTTCACCTGGCCTCACACCTCTTCTTCACCTGGCCTCACACCCCTCTTCTTCACCTGGCCTCACACCCTCTTCTTCACCTGGCCTCACACCCTCTTCTTCACCTGGCCTCACACCCTCTCTTCACCTGGCCTCACACACCTCTCTTCACCTGGCCTCACACCCTCTTCTTCACCTGGCCTCACACCCTCTTCTTCACCTGGCCTCACACCCTTCTTCACCTGGCCTCACACCTTCCCTCACCTGGCTTCACCTCCCCTACCTGGCCTCACACCTCCCCTCACCTTCACCTGGCCTCACCCTGGCCTCACCCTCATCTTCACCTGGCCTCACCCTCATCTTCACCTGGCCTCACCCTCTTCTTCACCTGGCCTCACACCCTCTTCTTCACCTGGCCTCACACCCTCTTCTTCACCTGGCCTCACACCCTCTTCTTCACCTGGCCTCCACCCTCTTCTTCACCTGGCCTCACACCCTCTTCTTCACCTGGCCTCCACCCTCTTCTTCACCTGGCCTCCACCCCTTTCTTCACCTGGCCTCACACCCTCTCTTCACCTGGCCTCACACCTGGCCTTCTTCACCTGGCCTCACCTTCCCTCACCTGGCTTCACCTTCCCTACCTGGCCTCCACCTTCCCTCACCTTCACCTGGCCTCACCCTCATCTCACCCTCACTTCACCTGGCCTCACCCTCATCTTCACCTGGCCTCACCCTCATCTTCACCTGGCCTCACCCTCATCTTCACCTGGCCTCACCCTCATCTTCACCTGGCCTTTCACCTGGTATTATTATTATTATTATTATTATTATTATTATTATTATGCAACTTTCTTTTTATATATGTGAGAAAGTATTAGGAGTGTGTGTGTGTGTGTGTGTGTGTGTGTGTGTGTGTGTGTGACTTATGGTGAGTATGGGGAGTGTGTGAGGTGTGTGTATGTAACTTATGGTGAGTATGGGGAGTGTGTGAGGTGTGTGTGAGAGTAACGAAAGTGAGTGACCATGAGGGACCCCGAGGAACTTGATTGACAGTGATGTACGTGAGTGACCGTTGGTAACCATGAGTGACCGTTGGTGAACATGAGTGACCGTGAGTGACCATACCGACAACAGGTAGTGTAGACTTACTATGGTTACAAGAGGAAGTTGGGCATCAGTAGGCAATAAGCGGCGACTGTGTGTGTGTGTGTGTATGTGCGTGTGTGTAAGTATGTATGTATGTATGTATGTATGTATGTATGTATGTATGGATGTAATGTGTATATGTGTGTGTGTGTATAATTGTTATGTATATGAATGTACAGTATGATGGAAATAACGAGTATAAACCTAACCTAACCAATCTCTCCCTCTCTTAGGCTTCTCTAAGGTGAAGTAGTGTTTATATATATATACACCCATCCATTAACATCCATCTATATATATATATATATAACCAAGTGTGAGCACCTCGTTGAGAAATTTATATATATACACATAATCTTGATGCCCTCGCTATTGACTTAAACCCTCAAGTGGAGTTTACAAGTGTGGTGTGTTAAGTGAGAGTGTACAAGAGGCTCTCACCACCACACGCCCTCACCTGTCCCAACGCCCTAAGAGCACCAGGCAGGCAGGGGTCAGCACACACCTTGTCTCTTCTGTAGGTGAGTGATGCTGTGTGAGGTGTTTGTTGTCTGTGAAGTAGTGGGGTGAGGTGCGTGGTGTAGGGGCCTGTCTCATGTACTTGGTGTATCTACTTGTACTGTACGTGATGGAGTTTCATGTACTGTACTTGGTGTAAGATTAGACAGAGGTTACCATCTGTATATTTTATTATTTTGTATTCGTAATCATCAAGCGAATTCACTGTAACCCCTTGAGTATCATGTTTTAACCCCTTGAGTATCATGTTTTAACCCTTTGAGTATCATGTCTTAACCCCTTGAGTATCATGTCTTAACCCCTTCAGTACGATAACACCCAGAGTACGACGCTTTAACCCCTTGACTACAAATGACTTAACCCCTTTAATATGGAACAATGTCATCGTACTCAGGCGGGGTCCCCGGACGAGTACTACACATAACCGGACTTTAATTATATCCTTCTGAGTAACGACATAAAGAAGGTGACCTGGCCTAGTTGAGTGAGTGATCCGGCTCAGGGGGTCATTTCCGCGGGCTCAAAAGGTGACACCGTATTGGTTTAGTGTGTGTGTGTGTGTGTGTTACAGGAGACGTTAATCGTGTGTACAGGGGACCGGATATTATGTCACCTGTGAACGTGTTAATATGACCCGTAAATAATACACAGAAAATAATTCACCTTGGTTTGGCAGATGTAAACAAACATCAAACACACCTTTGTACCTACACCTGTGACCAGATCCTCCCCCTGGGGCTCCCTCACACCCCTTCTACACCAAGAGAGAGAGAGAGAGAGAGAGGGGGGGGGGGGCCTTGCCGTTCTTACAGCTTGGTTGATCAGGAACATTTTGAGGAAGTTATTATGTCCCCCCTCTCACCCCTCTCAACCCCCACCCCCCTCAACCCCCCTCATGAAGGTCTCCTCTTGTTCTTCTCTCGGTTAATACTTGAGATGTGTTGAGGTGCTGGCCAGTATTAAACGACCCTATTAGATTTGTACCATTTACTCAACTGACACGAGGGTTTAACAACTAAAAAATACATGTATAATCATACTATGTATCTGAAAATTAAGGAAGTAAGTGTGTGTGTGTGTGTGTGTGTGTTGAAGCATGACGGGCCAGAATGCTTACCTGGGTAGGGATGGAGGTAAGGTAAAGCGCGGTGGCTGACACACACACACACACTCAGGACCCTCTTGGTGGTGTTTTGTGTGTCTGAACCAGGAACATGTTAGTCTTAAATCCTGTACTTGTATACACCTCTGTCCTTGTAGCAGACCCCTCCCTCCCTCCCCCACTCAACCACACTATCCCCACTCAGCCCCCACTCCACCGCACTCCACCACACTCCACCCCCTCTATTCCACCCCACTCCACACCATCCCACTCCGCTACACTCCATCCCACCACCCATTATCCCTCTGTCTCACCACACAGTTCCCTCTAGGGTGTGTGGGGTAACTAGAGTGTGTGTGAGGCAGTACGGTACAGCACGTCACGCTACGGTGTTCCAGGTACGGTCTAAGGCAGGGAGGTGGACTTTAACACCGGAACTCACCAAGGTTGTCACTGCACACCGGCTCCCTCCTTCCCTCCCTCCTTCCTTCTTCTCTCTCTCCCTCCCTCCCTCTTTCCTTACTTCATTCCTTCCTCCCCTCTGTCCTTATCTCTTCACCCCCCCCTCCCTGCCTTCTCTGCTTACTTCCCTCCTCTCTTCCTCCCCCCTCCTCCTTTGTAGTTCTCGTCTTGCTTCTCTTACCGTGTATGTGTGTGTGCATGTATGCATGTATGCATGTATGCATGTATGCATGTATGTATGTATGTATGTATGTATGTATGTATGTACTGTATGTATGTATGTATGTATGTATGTATGTATGTATGTACTCTATGCATACACCAACATTAAGTAGGTCGACACCGGCTCCTCCCACTTCTAACAACAACACGACATTCCACAACCAATAATACAACTCTCCATTATTAGAGACACAACAACATTGACTCTCTCTCTCTCTCTCGTGTATAGAGGAGCCATCAAGCGTCACTACCTTCTTTTGTTTACCTACCTGACAGTACCCCCCCCTTCCTCCCCCCTCTACCCCCTCCCCAGCAGGTAATTATCGTGGGTATTAGACTATGTTATTGAACGAATACCTCGCTTCTCCTGTAGGTGGTTATGTCGTTTATCAGAGCTTAAGGAGAGATAAACAAGGGTTGAGTTATGGTCTTGTTGACGTTACCTGTGTGTATAACTCTTTTGTACCTTTCTGATGCCTAGTGTAGTGGTTCATCCTGGTGTTGGTATGGTGGTGGTGTAGGGTGGTGGTGGTATGGTGATGGTGTTGTGGTGGTGGTATGGTGGTGGTGTAGGGTGATGGTGTAGGGTGATGGTGGTATGGTGGTGGTGTAGGGTGATGGTGATGGGTTAAGGTACTGATGGGTGGGAGAGGATATTGACCCAACACCAAGTGACCCTGAGTGAAAGTAGTACTGGGACTCACACCACCACCACCACCACCACCACCAGTACTATTACCACCACTACTACCCAGCTGGCTCTGTAACACGGTGGTGGTGACTAACACACTTGTAACGAATATACGGTACATCAATCTCTTTCCACACACACAGAGGGTAGCTATGTGTGTTGATGATAGTATAAAGTTACCCACTGATGACTGTGTGTGTGTGTGTGTGTGTGTGTGGTTCTTCAGACGTTAATTTGGGGAATACAATTTTATTATTTTTGGGTAAATTTGTTTTGACCTCCAAGTTATTATTATTGTTGTTATTTTTGGTATTTTATTATTGTTATTATTTTTTATTTTTGTTTATTATAATTATTGTTGTTAATTTTATTAGTAGTATTATTGTTATTGTTTTTATTTTTCTATTATTATTATTATTATTATTATTATTATTATTATTATTATTATTATTATTATTATTATTATTATTATTATTATTATTGTTGTTTTTGTTGCCTGGAGAACACACAACACAACACCACTCACCACACCACACACAACACCACACACAACACACACACAACACACAACATACCACACAGCAACACCACACACACACCACACACACACACCACACACACACAACACACACACAACACACACACACACCACACAACACAGCACAACACAGCACAACACCAGTTATATAAAATGTTCTCGATAACTTTTTTCTCTACTTTTTTTTTATTTAATTAATGGTCATTTCAGGTGTGTTTATGGCATCCTCTTACACACATACCTGGCTCCTGCTTCCTTATGCCTCAGTTACGTGTTGAAGGTGAGGCGGGGTGTACCGTGTGTGTCTGGTCTGACGTAACACTTTACACGTATAACCTTTAAGTCCTCTTATTACTTTACTCTCGGGTAATTAAAAAAAATCCTCGGCTGCAACTCTTCGTCACACACTTTGACCTTTGACCTTAAATTACCAGGTCACTGTTCTTCGTTGTAAAGATAAGAGAGGTAGAGGGGAGGGGTTGAAGTCATGCTGGAGGAGGGAGGTAGTGTGGGGGTAGTGTGGGGGGTTATATAATTAAAGTATTGTAATACTTGATGTTTACAGACAGGTGCGAGAAATAAACAAGGGGTTAGGTTAGGTTTTGGTAATTTAGCAAGACGGCTTTTCGAACATTGGAAGATTGAGGAAGTTGGAGAAATGGCTTGGACGAACAACTTATAATAGTATAGTGTATAGTAGTGTATCGTGTGTGTGTGTGTGTGTGTGTGTGTGTGTGTGGAGGTGTAGGTGTGTGTATGCTTGTGCTTGTGTGTATGTGAGAGAGAGACACTGTTTTTTTTATTCCTATCATTATATTCAAGGCCATACTATCAGCACAATAGCCCAATCATACACTCGTTCACCATAACCTCAAACACACACACACACACACACACACACACACACACACACACAACACATTCAATTTGCTTCCCTTACCTGAGGTTAATTTAGCGGATATTCCCAGGTAATTATAGTCACGGCACTGCTACGACGCCATATTTGTTGACTGTTTTTTTGTGTGTGTCTTGTGGGAATTAAAACTCTCCTCGTGTCTTGAGCTTGAGAAAAAAAATTTGTCGTGAGGTTTTTTCAAGAGTTAAGGATAATTATTAAAGCATGGGGGGTGTAGGCATAAGATTCAAGGCTCTTTTTACAAGACACTTCAAGGGGTGATGTGAAAGTGTGTGTGTGTGTGTGTGTGTGTGTCACCTGCTAGTACCTTAGTGTCGTTGCGTGATTAGCAATTTAAAACGTGGTCAGTGAAATTGGATTTGTGGCACAGTATTACACCACAAGTCTGTCCAATTACGTCTTGTAGTTATGGTATAAGGTGGTGGTGGTGATAGTGGTGGCTATGGTGGTTTATAGTGATGGTCTATGGTGGTGGCGGTGATAGTGGTGGTGGTGGTTCTTCACTATGACTGGATGTCCTTCACTCTTAACCTTCCCGGGGGGTGACATCACAACACACCCACTCAACACATCCTGCCATCCTGAAGTAAATTAACCCCTCACAACAACACAGCACATCCTATCATCCTATAGTGAGGGCAGACAACACAACATCCTACCATCCTATAGTGAAGGCAGACAACACAATACATCCTACCATCCTATAGTGAAGGCAGACAACACAACATCCTACCATCCTATAGTGAAGGCAGACAACACAACATCCTACTATCCTATAGTGAGGGCAGACAACACAGCATCCTACCATCCCATAGTGAAGGCAGACAACACAACATCCTACCATCCTATAGTGAAGGCAGACAACACAACATCCTACCATCCTATAGTGAAGGCAGACAACACAACATCCTACCATCCTATAGTGAAGGCAGACAACACAACATCCTACCATCCTATAGTGAAGGCAGACAACACAACATCCTAACACCATCCTATAGTGAAGGCAGACAACACAACACGTCCTACCATCCTATAGTGAAGGCAGACAACACAACATCCCACCATCCTAGT